TCTTCCTTTCTGAGCAGTATATTCTATATATGTAGGAGATAGACAATTTGGTTTATCTTTTGTGAGATCTGATTAAATACAGTAAGAGTTTCTGTCATGGTTGTTTCTGGTCTGATTCTTCCTTGAGTTCCATAAAAATTGGTTTTGCACAGACCTGTTTTTTTTAATATTCCTTTGTAGGTGCTCTGAGCTAAATTACAGGCCAAGTACCTTTGCCGTCCCATCAAATGTTTAAAACTCCTTTATATTTTATTCAGATATGGGAACTGTAAAGAATGGCCTGGATATCCGCTAGAAGTCGCCCATTGTGTTATGGTCTTTAAGAACTGTTAACATGCCATGTTGGGATCAAGTTAATTGCAGAGCAGCCCTTGGCGGTCTGTCAAGCACTTTGAATTAAATTTTCTTTTGCTGACACTTTTCTAAGTGTTTGCCTAGTTCTGAATCCGTTCAGTGCTTGGAGCTTCTCGTATTATCTTTCATTGCCGTTCCACACAAGAATTTTAAAGAAACTCCTTCTGCGCTACCTCGTCCTTCCTAGCTTTAATTGCTTTCATTTGAGGTCCTAGCGCTTGTGCAGATGCCTTTGAGGTAGTCCCCTGCATATTTTCTTTAACTTTAAAAAGCTCTTGACTTCATGTGTTCTAATTAATATAGATCCCATTCTGACCTCTCATTTCCCATTGTAAAAGTTCTTGTTATTTCTGATATCCTCTTTTGTCTGTTTTCCAGTTCTTTGATATCTCTCCAGTAAGACGAGAAGTGTAGACAGTGCACAGTATTACATACAGTGCTGCATTTCTGACATCTCCAACACTTGGTATGGTGCCATAATGGTCCCTTTGGATCTGAATTTCATTTCTTGCTACATCAGAGGGCCCTGTCTCCTTTGCTGTTCCCCGCTGAGTGGGTGGTTTCAGATTTCCATATGTTATTGCCACAGATTGTTCCTTTGATCAGTGCTTTGCTGCTTCTGCCTCTGAGAACCTGAAAGGGATGTTACTACATTTATATACAGTGTACCAATTTATTCCCTGTCTGATAGTGCTGAGTAATCCTCCTCAAAGTCTGGTTTGTAATCCCTGTATTTTATCAGCTAAAATGAGTGAACAGAGGATTTTCTGTTTACATAATATCAAAGCTGGTGGAAACTTTCACTCACTTAAATTTGCTTCACAAAAGATTCCTGCACAATTTTTCTAATAAAAATGGTGTTACTTGTGGATGTTTGTTGCTGATTTGCCTTTGCATAAGCGTTACATGTGCATATGAATTTGCCTTTATTAAAAAAATACATTCTGCAATATCTTTGCACTACAAAAGTGAAGCCAAATATTGTTTTTGTTTCTGGTGCAAATAATCCTGTCTACTGAATATTTTTAAGTGTTTAAAATTTGTACAAATATTTAATAAGTAGCTTCATGATGCAGCTTCCCTTTTAAGTGTTAAGGATGTACAAAAATGTAGCAATAGTCCTACAGACTACGATTTGAAAGCAAAGAGCTTCAGGCTTTCCTTGGCATGATTTTATATTGGAGTAAGGGAGTTAACCTCAGTGAAACTTCCTTTACACTAGTGTAAATTAGATTAGCATTGAGCTCAAGGGTTCAGGAGTTTCTAATGTAAATCACGATTTCAATATATTGTAAGACCTCTGTGGGTGAATTCTAAGGCCTTCTTTATGGAAGCATCTCTGTGAGTTTATCCATGTTTTCATTGCAAGATGAATTTAGAGCATAAATTATATTATCTGATATTATCTGATATGCTACTGTCAGCTTTCTGACTGCAGCAGATTAACTCTAGAGTATTCTGTAAAAAGGCCCTTTTGCACTTACGCATTGCAGTGGTAAAGTTAGTTAAGTTTCTTGGCTGCAGGGAGGATGACTGTATTCTTTTACGCTCTGAATAGCACTTTTTTGGCATCCCGTACCTTGCTAATATCCTCCTCTGTGGATAGACCCCAAGTCATTTAGTGTGAGTCAAGGGGTCTTAGAGGTGATTATATCCTGTTCTTATAAGAAAGAGGGAGAGAAGAGATGTTGTTTTGTGAAGTCAAGTCATGGTCACAGCACAGAGCTGTGAAGTTTTAGGCGTAAGCCCTGGCGCATATGCTGTATGCAAACGGGTGTTGGGAGCGCTGCGCTGGGGAGACCGGTGACCCGACTGCGCAGAGAAAGGTAGGCATTTGAAAGCATGACAGGTTTAGCCCTGATATCTCTACCTGCACATTATATCTTCTCATGTCATGAATAACATTTTCATGTTCTCTAGAAGAACACAGTATTACTTTATTGAGAATTAGCCAAGCAAGGCAAAGAAAAATTGAGCTGCTTCTTCTCAGGACTTGGGACTAAATCGTAATTAAAGGGGATAATTTAAAGGAACTCAAAGATGGCACTATTTCATAATGGTTGGTGATTTCTGAATAAATACTTTTATCAGTAGAAAAGCTAACAGAAGCATCTTCTAATTATGGGTTTTAATGCAGTGAAGTATCTCCCCTGCTCCAATCATTTAGTTTAATTTCAACGTTATATATTTTGCAAATATTTATTTCCAGCTAATAGGAGCTATAATAACCACTTTGGTATTTTTATTTCGTGTAAAGCATTGGTTGTCGTTTCTGTTCCCATCTTCTGACATTAGGTGGAGCGGATTTCTCCTTTGTGCCATTGCAATGCTCCTTGTGATATTTCCAATGTTTACCTTTCCAAAAAAGCTCCCTCCTCGACATAAAAAAAAGAAAAAGAAAAAGAAGATGAACTCTGATGATGTTTCAAGTGAGGATGAAGTTATGAAAGAGAAAACAAATAGCAAAATACAAGCAGACAGTGCAGTTCCTGCCTCTATGGGATTTGGAAAGAATGTTAAAGGTGAAGTTTGTTTTTAACTTTTAAATACTTTAAATTTCAAGGTCATCTTCTAAGGTTGTTTGAGTCTAACTGAAAGCAGAATTTTGACATATTCTATTCCATGTTATGTTTTGTTGTTGAGAGAGGTTTTAATAGATTGTCCTCTTTTAAAATTACCAAATGCAGTTCGGAAGGTAAGTCTTCCTTTTACTTAAACTATTGGACTGTGTTTGATGTGCATCTGTCACAAATAGGCAGCCTATTCGCTTTCATAAACCAGTCCTTTTCCCCCTCTTTCACATTCATCTGCTGTCTGTCACATGGTTTTATGACCTCTGTTCACAGCGTATGTGTGCACCTAACAGTTTGTAATTGTCATACTTTCTTAAGCTGTCTCTCATAGTAGGAAGTGATCCTCTGCTAAAATATAGGCAAAACAAGTGAAAACAATTCTAGTACATGAGTTAAATTATCTTATTTATTTGGACAGATTAATATAGAAATGTTATTTTATCTCAGATGTATTTCCTGGCAAGCTATTTATTTTCAGAAGGGTAGAATGAACAAACTTGTGCTAATTTTGAAACAAGAAGAGACAAAAAGATTGACAAGTAGTAGACGTTTATTTTCAGTAAGTACAATATTAATATGAAATCTAACAATCAGCGCTAATCATTGATAAAATGCTATGAGAAGAAAGGCAGTGTTGTTAAAAAATGAATTAATACTAAGCGTATGAGTTTAGAGTTGACAATATAGGCTTCACAGTGTCATAATGCTGAGTAGTACAGGACAAGAATGAATGCACCTTAATGCTGTTGTGTTATCAATACTGTTGAGCCCTCCTTGGTTTCCATGATATGACTGCTGGTTGTGCCATGTTTGTGGTAGCTGATTAATACAGTGGAACTGAGAGAAGTCATGAAAACCCGTATCTTTTGGGCCATGAGACATAATCTGAACCCAAAACTTTGTTTGTTTATTGATATGAGCATCAGTGTTACCTTTTTGAGGGATGTCAGTCTGGGATATGATTGACAGATTTTTTTAATGATGCATATATGATCATTCATTTTATCCAGTAGCCGAAACTTACCAACACTAAAAATGATATAATTCTAAGTAATGTTTGCCTAAATACATATAGACTTAAAATGACTAAGTACTTAAAATGACTAAGTAATGTTTGCCTAAATACATATAGACTTACTTCATATTGCAGTTATACCTATACTCCTAGGATAAGTGAAGTTATTGTTAATTTCTATGGAAGTTAACAAAAACCAGACATCATAATTATATTGTGCTGATTTTATTAGCTCACATAATGGCATCATAATCAAGACTCAAAACAAGCAAGATAAACCTGCAATATTAGGTTCTTCAGGACCCAGTCCTTCTTTTTCAGTCTAAGATAATAGTTCCTGGTACAATCATCAATCCAGAGTAGCTCAAAAAGTGATGGACTGAGAGGGAAGAAAAAAGTACTGTCTACTTTGAAGCTGTACTGTCTAGCTCTGAAGACTCCGTATCCCCCATATTTGCGAGTCACTCACATAATGTTTTCCCCTAAATTCATGAAGCTTGTTGGTTTGTTTTGCCTTGAAACTTACTGGCCTCCCAACTATCCAAAGTAGTTCTGGGCTATTCCTATTAATGCTTTTTCACTAACTTAGGGAAGTGGAAAAGGGGATCTCAGTCCCTGTTGTGTTCCTTCCTAATCAGTACAGGCAATCTCACTGCAGAGGGATTGCTTCGTTCTGTAGGTGCGCCTGGGAGAGACAGAGGTATTCAGATGAACTGTGTGTCTGGATGAGTTTGCTGATGCTGATTCTCCATTTCCATGCATAACTTCACCTTCTAGATCATATTGTTTCACTGCATGTACAACAGATACGGAGAAAACAAATCCACTTTTAAGAGAACTTTCCTAGTACCTTTTTTCATAGAAACCACAACTTCTGTATATCTCTTTTTAGAATTTCAGTATTTATCAACCTAAATGTGTGCGACACCTTCTATTAACAAAATCCTCTGTTAATATTTTAATAGTGGTCACCAAATTATAGTTTCTCATATATAACACTTTTCATTTTCTCTAGAGGAGAAGCTTCACTGTGTGGGACAGTTAAAAACAGCATTGTATTCCACACGTCAGAAAGGTAGCAAGCAAATCTAGCTTACACAGTGAAAAATATTTTGCTATAGACTGATAATAGCTTTCCCATTAGGTGTCATTTACCCTAGAAAAGAGGGCCTGCAGCAGGGATGCACTATCATTTAATTATTTTTCAAGTTTAAGTGGGCTTTATGGAATGAGATCATGCCTCAGGCTTCTCAGTTGAGGTAATTTCACTTATAATGGGAAGGAAAAAAGGGTCACATGTGTCTAAGTCATTTAACATTATTTCTTGAGAGATACAATGTGCATTTTATACTTCCCATTGAATTTCAGGGCTTCTTATTATGCAAAATCTTTTTATAGAAAGATGGGCGGAAACTCCACTTAGGCTGTAGCTGGGGGACTGATGATTTAGTAAGTCACATTTTCTGTTCTATACTTTTAAATATCACTGATGTCATGGTCTGTAATGACAGAGGTCAGTGTCATTAAATCTGTAAAACCTGTGCATCTATGGTCGGGGAATGGGGAAGTCCTGTGGAAGAAACTTTGCTCTTCTGATAAGATCTTCTCTTACTTGGGAAGCCTGGCAAAATGATGTTGCATTCTTGTCCTACTGTAGCTTGTCCTAAATTAGTTCTAGATAGGAATGAAAAGGCATTGAACAGATATGAGAGGAAAGGCTGGAGTCCCTTTTTTCTGGAATGGCTGTCAGTATAGGCTGGAGAAATAAAACAAAATTGGCTCCAGCTGCAAATGTCCTCCAACTTCAGTGACTTAGGTTTTGGTTTGGCCCATGGCAGGGCTGGGATCAGATAGAAATACAAATTCATTTTTACATTTTCTCATATTTTGAGATACATGGGCTTGGAATTCAGTCTTTTCCTATTTATATTGCAAGTAAACCATTTAAGAGGGAGAATGCTTTTGAGGTAGGTATCAAAAACAGTAAATAGGTCATAGGAGGATGAAAATGGGATTGGAGAAGTGAAGATGGTATAAAAAAACCCATGAGCTAGAGGAGGTTTATAATGAAGAAACCACAGTTTAATCCCAGATGTGCAGATAAATCATGAACTTGAGCAGACAGAATCACTGTTTTCCTTTATTATGTGGATACCCTTAGGGCTTTGTACCATGGAAGCTGTGTCTGCAGTCCCTTTTACTTATTACTATAATGAAATTTATTATGCAGTTGGATAAAGGAGTGCTGTAAGGAAAGTAAATGCATATGCTACTCACCTAAAATGTACTGAACTAAACTTTGAAGGGTGTTAATTAATTACATGTATTTTATAGTCATTTCTTCTGAAAAAGGTTGACTTTGGTCCTTATATACATATGAATAAACCAGTATTGTTCCTGAGCTTTTTTTCTTTTTTTTTAATATGACATTTTCATGTCTACCAGCCCAACAGTCATACGCTGTTGCCAGTCAGTGTGTACCAGGGATGAAGGCAGGATAATAATGATTGTCAGGGTATCAGCAAAGGTAAAAGATATAACCAATGGGCTCATGGCTATAGCATAAAGTCCGACTGCTGTTTCTATAATATGCAAATGTTAGTTCGTAAGAATCAGAAGAGGAGGAAGATATTGGTGTGTGTGCAGAGGTGCTTTGTGAGCCTTGTAAATGTCAGAGGGTTGGGTAGACCGTGGGATGGAGATCCTGCTGTGCCACTGACCGGCAGGGTGACCTTGAGCAACTCACTTCCCTCCCCGCCCTTTATTGTGCTGTCTTGGAGAACTTAAAATAGATAATATTGGCATTGCCCAGTGCAGCGATGGCCAGTCTTATCTGGAGCCTTGAAAAGCCGCCCTAAATCAAACTAAACAAAATAATAATCAGACCAAATGCACTTCAAACTTCCCTACTCTTAATGGGATATTATGGACTGTTTGACTATCTGGCTGCCACCCAGGAGCTTAAGGCATGTCCTGAAAATCCTTGTAGAAGCTGGTTGAGTGAGATTGTTTAAATGTTATGTGAATAGATAATGAAATAAAACACATGTGGGAAAATATTATTCCTGAATTAATGCTTTGACTTGATTAGATCTATGCGGAAAAACAACAATAAAATGGTGTGGCTGAAAATGTTAATTTCCATTCTCATAAACAAACCAGAAATTCCATCTCAAATATTGACTCTGCTTTGTACTGTGCAAGAGCAGAAGCTTTCCCTGAGACCTTAGTATGGATTCAAATCTGAAGACTGAGATAGAGCTGTAGGGGCTTAATGAAAAGGAGGTCCTTATTATCTGCATTACCCTTATAAGAGAGTTTCCTGAATGACCACAAGAGGATAATGCTGCAGACTGGGATATTTTTTTCCCTTGGTTATATTCATTGTGCTACCTTTGGCTAGATGTACAGGAACAGGGATAAAATAAAATATATTAAATTATGAAATAGGAGGTGAAGTTGGAATTATTTGAGTTTTTATTGAAATTCTGTTAAGATGCTTTAAGAACATTATGTAACCTAGAGCAGTATTTACAAATTTTTGCATTGCTTCTTAGCATCTACCACTTTTCCCTTACTATGAGTCAAACAGTGGTCTAGTACACCAGTGGCAGAAAATGAATGCTGACTAGATAAAAGATATTGTCAAAGATCAGGAAGGAAATCAAATTACTAGTAGACTAGCAAACTAGTCCAGCAAGATCAGTTCCAATTTATGCTGAAAATTTTATTAGGTTATTTAAGAAAAAAGAAAAATGGGAAAGCTTAGGATTTGAATTACTGCACAGCAGAATAAGTATGTTTGCAGTCATACTAGAAGATCATTTCAGTTTTAGGAATGTCATTGATAGACACTTATGTGTTCAAATGACAGAATGATGGAAACTGCAAATTCTCAAAGTTTTATTGCTCATATATATTTGCAAAAATGATAAACGATGATTCTGTTAACAAATCAGAGCCTGAGAGGTTTAATAATGACCTTGAAACCACAGAGTAGGCCTATAGCTGATTGATATACCTTACAAAAATAACATGACATTGAAATGTTTTAAAAACATCTTTGATTATGCGGTACAAAGCACTGGATTCTTAATGTTGCTAGCATTCTTGCTTCTTATTAGAATTAGTGTGGTTAGAAAATGCAAGATATTTCCTATGTCTTTTTATTGTAGTCTTTTAAATTCAGAAATCTAATAAAGATTCTGTTACACAGCATTTTGCTGTAATCATAGGAGGAAAACAGGGAAAACCTAATTATGAGTAAGTATTTTTATTTACAGATTTATTAATATATAGCGACTTTCCCCAGTATGGCAGACAGCTACTCTCTAGAAATCACAGAGATCATCAGCCACCAACTGTTACAAGTGGCATATATTAGTGCAGCATGCAGGAATACCCTGATTTATTTCATGCCAGAAATTACAGTAATCAGAATAGAGCTGGTCTCTGAAGAAGAATCCTTCACATGGCTTTAAGAGAACTTGTGCTTATTCCAAGACAATCTGAGTTTTATCTATTCATCTGTAGAAATCCAATCTGTAGAATCTCAATTAAAATAAAAAATATTATTTTTCATACAGTATACTGAAAGATTTAAATAGGAGTCAACAGAAAGTATAGCTCTACATCAGAACATTAGCCAGAGCAAAATGTCCTTCAGACCCTGTTCTTTAGTTAATTAGTCTTTAATACCTTTATGGTTTAGAACTTTTGATCTAAACTTTCCTGAAGTTCAGTTTTACCAGGAATAGCTAAACTTTACCAAGTATTATGATATTTTGACCAGCCACTTTAAAATAATGTGATTCAGCAAAAATCTTGGATTCAGTCCTGGGCCAAGGACTTTCAGTTCACTTCTATAAACAGCACCTAGTTCATCATCCTAATAAAATGACATTTCTCCCTGTGAAGTCCAGTCTTCTGAAAGTTGCTGTCTTATTATTTTTTCCCACATGTATTCTGTTGTGAAGAGCCATCTGGTATATAAATATAGCCTTTTATTAGATGAGATTTATGCAAAGTCACTCTTCTGTCAACACTTATTCTACATCATTGTTATATACTCAGGAGCATGAAACATGAAAGACATTTGGTACTGTTCTTTTCTCAGGTTTTTTTGGATTTTTTGAAACAATTGTCTTTCTGCATAAGTATCATACGTGCTTCTAATAGCCATGAACAAAGTTTAAATGCTACAGCAGACCCATGGCGTGGCTCAAAGTTAATATTTCTCACTGTTACTGCCCAGACACGTTCACATAAGGAAGCAGTTTTCAATCACACACCTTTTTTTTGCTAAAACTTTGGCAAGCATGACAAATATTGAACAAAAATGCTAATGAAAATGTTCCATCTACTTGATGCATTTGAGAACAGGAAAAATGGTGTTTTTGCTGACTCAGCATGGATGTGAAAAACACTAGTGGGGCCAAACTGGAGCCTTAGAGGATGGCCTTTTCTCCAAAAAGTGTTTACTCTTTTGTACTTTGTTCCCCACGCCCGCAGCTGTCTTCCTTCCTTCCTGCACTTTCATAGCAGCGGAAACACAGTCTTAACTACTTGCTGCCTGTTTTGGGGGAGACGCACTCAGTCCTGCACCATGTCCCTGGGGAAATCCTCCTACAGGTCCCCTGCTGTAGCCCTGTGACAGCTGTTTTCTTAAACTGCTGGGCTACTGTCAGCTAGCCACTGTGAGAGGCTTGGCAAAAGCTGGGTTAAGGTGGGTCTTGGTTCTTGCCCTTTTTGCATCTGAGCCCTCATCAGCTGAACCAAGCCAAACCAAAAGTAGACACAAAGCCGAAGATGATGAAGTAGTACCATTTAATGGTATTGTAGAGCTTTGATTTTTTTTTTTCCTTTTTCATTTCCTCTTGAGCAATGAGATAAATCTTATCAGTTGTGCTTTGAACTTGAAACACATTTGCCAAAAAGTTCTAATATTCTTTTCTGTTTGTGCTTGCTGCAGTAGTGACATTTCCAAAGATATTTATGTACATCTGTAATATGGTTTCCGTGTAGTCATGTTGATATAGTGTTGCCTCATACTTGTGTTTCCTTGTGTTTTTCTGTTTTGCTATTGTACAGTAACATAATATTCAAAAAAAAAGAGCCATAGGTGCATAAAAACGTTAGGATTTGAATATGAGTCCCTCCTAATACGATTTACTCATTACTTATTTACACCCCATTTTGTGTTTAACATTTAATATTTTTATTTGTAGAGGCAGCAGGAGAGCATTCAACCACATTAAGATTATAAATCCTGTACTCGTAATGAATTCACTATCATTTTTGAGGACTGGCAGAAGCTAAGATTGGATGCAGCCAGACAACTTAGGTGCTAATTTGCAGTCTGACAAGTTTTGACATGACAAGAGTCTAAATTCTGTTTGCTTTTATACAGATAACCTACTGAAGTTGAGTAAGTGAGACAGATTTTTGACTTGACAGCTTTTCATGTCAATAACGTTCTTTCTTAGGAGTTCTGCAGTTATGCACTTATTCAATGTCTTATATTTCTAATGGGAGCTCTTGTCATTGAATTCAGTGGGCTTTGGTTGAGACAGTATTCAATCTCCATACGAAGAGAAAAGCAAATGAAAAAAATTCAGACTACGTTAGATTGAATATAAGACTTGCTGAAAATCTAATCCCGTAGAAGCCCTAAGAAAACAAACCAAAAAATCATGTCTTTAAAAATCACCCTGTATAATCTGAAAAAATTTAAGCCTGAATGCAGTTATCATAATCTTGTGATGATCACATGACATCACTACAGAGCTGAATTTAAAGTACTGTAGTGCTTTTTCATTTCTGAATTTCATAGGTTTTTAATAGTTGGTCTGAGAATAATTGTAACATCTATGAATACCTTTTCCATTTAAGTTAATGATGTGTTCTCATTTTTAGTTTACAGTTTTCTCCCTTCTAGGGGTATTAAATGAGTTGGATGTAAGATATATTGAGATTCATTGACACCACTGAAACATCATCATGCTTTATCTGCATGTACTGTAAATATTTTTTAGTTATTTGCAAAAATGTTTTTTTCAAAATCTTTTGATTCCCTTTTCAACTTACAGTATTATCCCTGAATTCCGTGTGTGGACTTTTAAGCAGGTAGTTACAGAGGAAGGATGTGGTCAGTTTTTGTCATGTGGAAGCAAAACTCAGTATTGTCCAGCTCAGCAGCGTGGTATGCATATCTCCTATACAATTTTGAAATTAGACATCAGAATAATTCCAGGTTTGCTACATTTTCTTGCTGTTTTTCTTTCCTTCTCAGTGTTACCATGTAGATCCTGTTTCTCCAGACAGATTTGTTAAAACAGATGTCTGTTCTATTTGTGAAAAATGGAACAGCAGCCCCAGGGTGATACAGTAAGATAGTGTAAGAGCAAACAAAAAGATTGCAATCCAAAATATACACTCTCTTCCTTCCACTTAGCAAAAGTAGCCAGATTATAACAAGCCATTAGTCACAGTCCATCTCAAAGAAAATCAATTTGTTTTGTTTCAGTTTGCATTTGTTTTTCACTCATTATTTATAACATTCATTTGTCATTTTTGTCATTTTATAGAGCTTCCAAGAGCAGCTGTCAGGATCTTAAGCAACATGACATTCCTTTTTGTGAGTTTGTCATACACAGCTGAGAGTGCCATTGTTACAGCTTTTATTACCTTCATTCCCAAGTTCATCGAGTCACAGTTTGGCATCCCAGCTTCCAATGCCAGCATCTACACTGGTAAGGCATTGCCATGTAGTATAACACTGAAAGGGTTGTCGTTCTTTGACCAGTGAAGTTAATCAATGAAGAAATGAGTCAATAACATGCTTTAAGAGTTAGAACAGGTGATTGGATCCAACTGTGTGCATTCAGTTAGTTAAACAAACTGTTCTTTGATGCCTGTTACGTTTATTTAGTGAACAACTAAATAATGAACCCCTTCACGTTTTTAAGGGGTGGGGGGGTTGCATAAGCTTAGGCAGTGACATTTTCTAATATGTTAATGACATCTAGGGGGGGGGCAAAGAAACGAAAACAAGCTAGAAAACCTGTAGGCATGGTTGTGATTTGTGTACTTTAAAAATATTTTAAAGCTAATCTTATTTGATTTGAATTTTACTTCCTCTTTGATCTTTAAAATGTCCTAATCTTTCGTTTCCCCAGTGACCAATTGGTTATCTGTGCCATCCTTTGCTTATTCATCTCTTCCCTTCAGGCTGGTGATCTTCTAGGTATTTATTATTAAAACTGAGCACACAACAATATAGTCTAGCCAGGAGAGCTACCACAATCTTCTCCTGCCTCTCACTTCACCTCTTTTGTACACCTGGTGCTTCCCCTTCCACCTGCAGCAAGGTGCAGCCAAGTCCAGCTTTTACCATAGCTTGAAAGATTCTGTTGCATAGCTTTGTGCTGCTCTGAGGGAAGGAGAGCTGGTCTTGACCTGCAACTTCCCGAGGGATAGGAGCCATTGCTATGAAGTGTTGTGCAGAATTGGGGCCCATCTCATGGAGATTGTCTCCTATTCTCCTAGCTGCCTCAAAGACTCTTGTCTTAACCTCCCTCTCTTCTTTTTCACTTGTAAACATCTTTTTGCCTTTTCCATCTGCTTCCTATACAGAATAGCTGCTAATTGCTAGGTGGGTTAATTCTTTGCTCCCCGCTACTTCCAGTCACTATGTGTAAGATGTGGATGGAGACCTTGAAGAATCAGTCAACACACTTAGCTATTAGCGGAGACACAGTTACAGGGAGCAGGGGCGAGGTCAAGAAAAAGACAAAAAGTAGTAAAAGAAAGCAAGACAAAGATGCAGAGATGTCACATGAGAATCCTGTGTCAGCTGTGGTGTCTGGAAGAAAAGAGGGCTTAGAGGAAACTCAAAGAAATACCATGAGATGAGAGCTTCCTGGGAAAAGATTTTCTTCAGGGCATGAAATACATGTATTCTGTAAAATAGGAGGAAGTTTAAGTTGATAGGACTGTAATTCTATCTCATATTTATAGTGGCTGCATAACAAATGAGTTTTGCTTTAATGGTTTATGGCATTACTGGGAGTCTTGGTGGAATTGCTATTCTATAACTCACTTCATTCTCAGTATAAACCAGAAACGTTCTTGCTAGACAAAATATTCAACAGTCGGTACATTAAAAGAGCGGAAGAAACATGTGACCCTAGCCAGGATGTGAAGCTACTGACATCTGTTGTTTTCCCTGTTATAAATTGGTTGATAAAACTATTATAATGAACCAGAAGAAGATGAAATAGCTCAGGCTGTATGTGCAACATGGGCAAATGAGCACTGCTTCCATGTTCCCAGCTTCTAAGAGTTGCATTAATATTAACAGCTGTAATTAATTTTCTGGATTGTTTTCATAGGAAAAATAGGAAAAGGAAATTTGGACTAGATTGCTACTAGTTAATCTAGTAAATGACATTTTCAGTTTGCAAACTTTCCTGGTTTAATAAAAGGAGGGCATGCAACTTAATTCATCTGTGCTTCGTACATCTACAGCTGAGTTAATGTGCTTGCTGAATCTCTTTTAATGTGATTGATGTAAGTTCTGTATTGAGCATTTTCCATCTCAGTTCATAAGTAGCCATTCTTTAATTAAGTTTCCATTTGCTTCTTTTTTTAAACAAACATGCCACTAAGCATCTGTGAGAATGACATAACGTCAAATTTCAGGTCTTGAACTTGAGCAACTTGTGCTGCAGTCTTGTTCGCAATTTTGTTTTCCATGAGAAAAGCAGATGTCTTTCAGCTTTCATATTTTCTCAGTTCTGAAAAAAATGAACGTTGACTTTACGTTGCAGGTAGATCTTTGACAAATTCAGATTAAAATTTCAGGTGGTTTGCTGGACAACTTAACTGTGAAGAAAAAGGTTACAATTCAAATAATTTGTAATCAGAAGTGCTGCACACTATGTAGTGTAAAGCACCACTGATAAAGTGGTTATAAATGCCTTGGTTCTAGCTTTAGTTCTCAGAAAGGCATAGTATATTTCTCAGATAGAATTGGTTTGAAAATCTCCCCCACATTCGCTCTGGAAGCGTAGCCATATTAGCAAATATTGCAATTTTCTGGTACCAGACTATTAGTAGCTGTTAAGATCATCTTTTGCCTCTGTGAAAAGCCTCAGGTGCTGCGGTATCCTGACAACAAAAAGGACAAAGCTTAAATTTGCTGACTGAAAGCTGATATTGCCTTGCAGCACTGTACAGAGCAGTGTATTTGGCGCACAAACAGTTCCTGTATGCCAAATTGTCATCATAAAATGAAGGAAAGTGCAGTGCAACAGCTTACTATCAGATAGTAAACTTTGCTTCACTAAATGACTTTGAAAAATAAGAATGCATGTCCTTATTAGATGTATGTGCTTTGCTTTGCCCTGAAAGCTCATCTGGAAGTGCACTGTAGTAACAGTGTTTCTTTGACAGCATATCACTTCTGATTTCACATGCCCTGCAGAAAAGAAGAGTGCAAGGATAAAGAGTTTGTACTTAGGGCAAAAGAATTTCTCAAGCTCTCTGACACACAAAAAAGAAAGAG